CAGACTCAGCACAACCAATGCCTTCAGATCAACATCAAGCTTTTGGCATGTTCAGCAGCAAGTGGCAGTTGGTCTATATCAGCTTGGACAGTCAGGAAATGGTGGTGGAGTTTGTGATATTGCATTTGCCTGCAGTTGCAGTTGGGGCTTGGTTCATGAGTGGACAGATAGGACTATTGCAGGCCTATACGAGCTGAACAGCGGGGTAGTAACCTTTGCAACTGAAGACAAGTGTGCTAAGGCAAAAGCATGGGTTGCTGATAAGAGTGGAGTCAAGGAATGGTCTAGAGGATGGTTGGTGGTAGATGGTACACACATCAATCTTGCTTGGAAGCCAGCACTCAATGCTTGCAAGCATTACTCATACAAGGGTGATTATACATTCAACATTGCCCTTGTCTTCCTCCCTCATTCCTTGCACATTGTTAAGTCAGTGGTTGGACATCCTGGGTCATCACATGATGTGTGAGTCTGGGCTTCAGGCAGTGGTATCATTGCCAAGCCTTGTTTGCATCTTGATGAAGGCGAATTTGTCTGGGTTGATGCTGGTTATGGCTACTCCAGCTACATAGTTGGACCGTACAGCAACACTGCAGTTGCAAAGAGCAGAGATCTCCACTACTTCAACTATTCACTCTCCCACATTTGTGTCAAGGCAGAACATGGCATTGCCTACCTCAAGAACCACTTCCAATGTCTCATGGGTTTTCGAGGCAACCTGTATTGAGAAGAGGACCATGAGAAAGCTGCACATATGGTCCAGGCTTGTATCATTGCACATACATTTGAAAGCTATTATGATCAACCAGGTAAGGTGGCAGAGTACCTTAGGGCATCAGAGAATCTATCTGAAGCCAAAGTGCTGGAGACCACATCAGGGATGGAAGCATATCAGCAGGCTACAGAAGATGCAAGGATGCAACAAAGGGGAAATCAGCAGCAATACAAACAGGAACAGGCTGCTACCATGAAGGGCATATCTCAGAACCGAGTCCAGAAGTTCAGGCAGGAGAAAGCACTGGATCTTGGGGAGGAGATGCTCACTGCACTCTTTGCTTCTCATGGCCACCCTTTTGAGGACACAACAGCAGAATCTCAAAGGATGGGAATGACAATATTGGCCTTCACCAAATGGCAGGAGAGACAAGACTGATGGCATGAGGCTTGCAGAAGACAGCGATCAGAACAGGTGTGATGTAAGCTGTTTGCTTTAGCTTTTCAATCAAAGGTTTTGGCATTGTTCAGTATAGTGTTCAACAACATCTGATATGATCACTTTGATCTTGACCTGGTGTAGGGAACCAGCAATTGCCTTTACCGGCCAAGTCAAGTGAAACTCCAAGATGCAAGTGTCACAGGCCTGTGCATTTTCTTGGGGCATCAAAAATTGGGCCCAAACATATTTTCAAAGTATTGTGTTTTCAAAACTCAGAGATAACTGAAACCCCCTAGTGGAGCTGTCCGGTGTGAATGTCGAATGCTTGCTAGGATCACAGCTCAGAGTCAATTCTCTTAGTCGGCTCTTCCGACTCTAGCTTCTCATTCTCCGCTTGGTCTCGTCGCTAGATCGCAACTTCTTCTTCTACCACATTCCCAACAACGCCCTCGATTGAAGCCATAGCTTCTCACGCCCCAAGTTCAGCTCTCGGAAACGATCCCGAAGGCAAGTCACCAGACCTCGATCGACAACTCATTTCAGCGAACCGTCTCATCAATACTCAGCAACCATGGGACCCTAAGCTTCATCATCAACCTCCGAACCACCCCTCGGCTCACCCGAAGCATACATATCAATCCACAGCAGAATGGCCGGTATAACTCTCGAATCTCCACCTCCCATCATCGCCTCCTCCTCCTCTTCTCGCACATCAGCACCTTCATCGCCACCTCTCCGAGCCAACATCCATCAACCAATCATGATGGAACTCAGCACAAGCACAAGCACCGGCAGCATAGATAGCTCCTGCTTCCAAGACCAACCTTCCTCTCGGCGTCTATTCCACAACACCCCTACAGCTCCGCACAGCTCAGCAAACGTGCCTAACTTCGTCTCACCCGTCGCATCAAGCTCGCTGCAGAGCCAAGTACGAACGTCAACCGCATCCGGTGTACTCGACGACCAGGACGTATTCGGCAAGATCGACCATACACCGTTGCGGCAAGAAACACACTCGACTTCACCTTTACCCAATTCGAGGTCTTTGCAGATGGGTGATATGCTAGATCATGTGCTGCCTGCGGATCAATCTGCGAGTCTGTCGGTGGGCAACATCATCGCGCCAGAGAGGGGAAGTTCGAAGAAGCAGCCGCCCAAACGACTGCCAACAGATCCGCATAGTACGACTGCTTCACCAACTCCACTGTCTAGATCTTCAGTAAGACCAAGGTCTGCACTTACATCGATAACTCTCAATAAGAGCATGAATGCGGCAAGAGAAGCAGAGGGCAGTAGCAGTCCTGCATCTGATCCATTCTCTCAGCGATCTTATCTTTCTGCTGACGAGCTCTCGTTTCACGTCAAACATCAGATGGCAGCTTTGCAAGAAAGTCCACAGACGTGTTGAAGGGCTTCGGAACATTAGCATTCGTTCAAGTCACATCAACAGCATGACTACGCATCAGATTCACCCTACCCTTCTCGCCTAGTTGCCAATATCATCCTCCGAAAGTGCCAACACACCGAAGTCTCCCGCCAGCTCTTCAGCCTCCTCGCTTCCATCCCGGATACCCAACTCGGCAAAACGCCGTTCCATCGACGCTCGTTCGCCACCATTCGAGACTGCTCGTGGCATGCGGTCGTCGTCACTGTCCTCATCGTCAGTGCCGGACTCTCCGTCCTCGTCCTCGTCCGCCTTCTTCTTCTTTTTCTTCTTTGAAATCTGCGCCTGCCGCTTAGGGCATGCCACCGATGCATGACCCTTCTGCCTGCAGCAGCTACAGGGGCCGGCGGGACAAGCATGCTGGCTGTGGAAAGGAGCCGTCCCGTCGTATCGGCAGTGGAAACACCAAGTAGGGCGATCGGGGAAGCGAACGAGGTAGGCGACTTTGTTGACAACAATCCAACCAGGAACGGCAGCGCGAGTCTCGAGACTCACAACCCCATTCTGCGTGTGCAGCTCCAGCAGCATAAGCACCTTTCCCTTGAAGCGTCGGGACTTAGGGCAGTGGAGCGCCCAGATATCCATCACCTTGCCGGCTTTGCGGATTCTCTGATCGGACTGGATTTCTGCCAACACTTGCTTCGGGCAGCTATCGGAAGGAAGCGTCTGAATGCACACTGCAACGTACTTAGGGTCGCAAATGCCACGGTCGACAACTTTGGGTTGGGTTCCGTAGAAGTCGAACGATAGCTCTTCTTCGTACACCTTGAGGACATCTGCTTCGGTCGCAAAGATGACATCTATAAAATTAATGTTGCCTCGCATTTTTGGTTGTCGAATGTCGATTGCGGTAAGTTTGTGGATTGTGCACATTTCGAGGATCTTTTGGAGCAGGACGTCTCGATAACATGCCTTGCTGGGTCGGTAGAGGGTGGAGAACTCCCATCGAACGCCGCTGGGGGGCACACCGGTTGTTTCAAGCTCGATGTGTAGGTCAGAGCCTGACATTTGAGGCTTGGGGCCGCGCGACCACAGGAGGCGATACTCGAACTCGTCCGTCGTCTCGGCCGTCATCTTGATTATCGTTCGCGATGTCGTTCAAACTGATGAGCTTGGAGGTGGTCCTGATGGGAGGTAGCGCAACACCAGACGATGCCAGTCTAGACCAGCAGAGAGGGGGTGTTCTAATGGTGTTGGGCAGAAGGAGCGAATGGTGAATAGCTGGGGCAAGGTCAGGTTTCAATCTGAAGCCATGTACTTATACCGCCTCACAACACAATGCTAGCACACAATGCTAGCATACCTTATTGATCCAACATTGTCGACTCAGCACGGCCAAAGTGCACGGCTAGCTCTTCTTGGCTAGAACAATGAATCGTGTACTGCCCCTGCTGAGCCTTGTCTGTGTGTCAAGGGTCTGCTCAATGCGCAGCCCACGCAAGATGCAGGGTTGAAAAAGACAAAAGAGGATGTGGCCCAAGCGTCGAGCTTTACGCAGAGACAAAAACTGATCAGGGTTTAGCCACATGCAAGTGTATGAAGCTCATCTTGGTTGGGCGGATGAGATTCGAGTCGCGCCTCAGTTCATCATTCTACAGCTCGCGCACAAGCTCTCCCGCGAATTCAAGGTGTCCCACAGTGAAAGTATGTGAGCTCCTTTTCGATCTCACACACTTCGCCAACTTCACTCATTTGGATATATATCACATAGGCCCGAATCGACCGCTGCGATAAGCATCGGCATACCGGTTAACAGTTAGCCGGCATAGTTCCCCTGTAGTTTCACCATTATGTTTCAGCCTCATCGTCGCTGTATCATATATGTATACTGTCACAGGGTCTGCGCAGAAGACCCTGGACAGGCATTTGAATGCGCGGTGCGCACGAAACGCGAAATCGGTCGAGTCGCGGGCTTCTGACCAATTTCACGAGCTCATCCGACCAATATCGTAGGTCGCATCGCGGAAAGACGCCACCGATGCATTAGGACTCATGCGACTTCATAAGACTGAAGGGACTGTCGTAGGAGGCTCGTCGCCATTGCTGATGGCGAACAGAGATCTACGAGAAGAGGTATGCAGAGGAGGGTCCACTCATCTACTATGACAGCTCATTGCCACGGACCATGTTGGTGTTTGAAGTGTTCTTGCTTAGTATGATGGTAGTGCTATTGCTCAATGACGACAACGACCCGACCCGAATGCGGGGTATCCGGCTAAATCGGGAAAATACTCGATTGTCCTCAAACTTACACACAGGTCTGTACCTTGTAATCTTCAATTCAAATACATCACTGAGCGAGAGCATAATGGGCTGTAGCTCAGAAAAAGTCTGCGAAAAAACTCGTGTAAAAAAGTGCAAAAAAGAAAAAAGAAACCTGAACCAAAAATAACAAGAAGTTGGAGCGGTAGGGGATTGAACCCTAGACCTTCTCAACACTTGTGTGACATTCGCAGGAATGTTATTGCAAATGAGACGCTCTACCACTGAGCTACAGCCCCAAACGATGTCTGGTGATGACAACGGGTCTACTTGAAGGCAACAGTGATGACAAGAGGGTCACCGAAGCTGCCATTTACCCCAGTTCCCTCCAGTATCGCTGACGGCAGAGCAAAGTGAGGGTGCTCACATACCTGCTGTACCCCCGTATGGGGATCAGCCCTAATCTCGTCCAAGAGGACGAAGAATCCACCAACCTCAACCCCGACCAGGCCCTCGGGCGGTTCCCACTGCTACTGTCATGTCGAATATGACGCTAACCCCCCCTTACAGCACCGGAGGTACGAAGAGGACGAGGTTAAGTTATCGTAAAGTGCTGAACAGCGTAAAAATGTTACCGCCAAAAACGTACTGGTGCCAAAACTCTGCATAGATGTTGTCATCACGATCAAGCTACAAGCAATCGATCCTGGCTGGTTGCTGCGGTAGTTCCTGCGGAAAGGGAAAACGAAAACAAAAGGGGAAGATATGCTAAGGAAAGACGATGGTAGACGATTGCAAAACTCAACAGCAGCCCCATTCGCAAGAGAGCAAAAAAAGGGGGGGAACTTTTTGCTGACCCCCTAGAGACCCCCAACTTCACGGTCCCCCTCCCCACTCACCTCCCTTTCATCTACGCTAAACACACTGGACAGCTGCCCAACGCTAAGATATCTCAGCAGGGTCGGGCCAGATCACCCACCTCCTTTCCTCCTCACAGACAGAGGCCACACGAATACCCACCCGCCAACACAACCGCTTTGACCAGCTCATTGCACACCCAACATGTACCGATGAAGCCAAGGACATCGGATGCTTGACTCCACAAGACATCGGTTCAGCATCGGCATTCCGACAAAAGCTTGTTCCAACGTTCAGCCTCATCGCCATCGCTATCATCTCTACCACAACACTAAACGCCAATCAATCGCATTACACTAGAACCAGCAACCAAGATGTCCTCCACCCCCGACCAAACCTCTACCGGTAATCAACCTCGCTCCGAACCTATCACCATGGCTTCGGAGGTGGCCTTTCACACCGTCTCAAAATGGCTACCTCTGGCCAAGCGGCTGAAGCAGTCTTCATCAATCGCCCGGACCAACACCCCCCATCAACCAATCATGCCTTTCAACGAGCTCCCTCCTCACCAACTTGACCGGCGGAACCTCAATTTTGGTATTAGCTCGGGTACGGTACGCTATGGAGTCCCTCCAACAATCAAGCTACCCACTCCTGATAATCAGAAGGCCGCCAAATTGTCGATCCTACTCCAGCTCCGTAAGCTCTATCCTAAGGAACGAACTCAAACGGTCAGCTTCATCAAGAGGAACAAGCAGAAAATTATGGATCTCACCTGGCCTACCGAGTTTAATCCGGGAACGTCTTTGCAAATCAACGGTCATTCCCTCGTCTTCATTGCCGCTGCACCCAAGATACCCGAAACGTACATAACCATCCGTGTCATTGGCCTTGACAACGAGATTGAGGACAAAATGACAGACTTTGCCGCTACACGCGATCATTTTCTCTACCCACACAACATCCTTGACTTCTGGACTACCAATACGATACAGCAACACCCAGACGAGGAAGACCCGATCGTATCTTGGGACTCCGAACTGTTTCTCCTCGTCGATCTTGATGTGATTGAAGGCAACTACCAGGGCTCCAGCCATCCGGCCGACATCGCTTCCCTCCTGCCTGGATGGGTAGCGTACTCTCGATCCAACTACAAGCTTATCTATACCTCCCGATTTGATCACTGTCACTTCTGCAAGACACCTGATCTCAACGTCTGTCACACTTACAAAGAGTGCACTGCTCGGCTGTGCAGTCGCTGCGGCAGCGCTGGTCATCTGCGCCGTCACTGTCCAGTCGAACGCGAAGAACGTACACGCGGCGACAATGATAAAGCAACGGAAGAAGAGTTCCGTGGACGAGACTGAGCATTAAAGGCAGTCCCGTTGCGACCCCCCTTGCACACAAGCCTCCTCCGCCACACACACACGTCTCCCTGGACCCACCATTTCCCCTCTTCATCTTTGTTTCTCTATGCATATATTTGTCTCAACTCCAATCTTCGACCATCCCTCCCTCCATCATTATCACCCCCCAACCCCAAGCCTCCTCCGTCATAACAGTCGCTCAAGTATGCCCGCTCTCCGCATCATGACCTGGAACTGCAACGGGCTCAATGCCTCACCTGTTGCCACCACAGGAGACTGGAAGCAAAGCACCGGTGGTATCGATGTTGTTCTGATCCAGGAAACTTGCAACAGCTCGGATCACCACACTCTCTTCGACCCTACCACCCTTCTGAACATTCTCGCTCACCCCGACATGTCATCCAGCGTCCATGCCTCCTACCTCACTCCTTTCTGCGGCATCGCCATCCTAAATCCCAACATCAGTATGCGAGCTGCCAAACACTCGCTCGAACAGCGCATTGTCTCAGCAAACCTACATTACCACAACAGAACCATCACGGTAGCATCTGTATACGCTCCCGCCAGCCATTACGAACACAGGGAGTTCTTCAACACTTTCCCAATGCGCTCCATTGTCAGCGAGCATCCAGTCATATTAGGAGGTGACTGGAATGACGCTCCATCAGCTCTCGACCTCTTAAATGGACGGCCTCCTATATCTCACCTGTGGCACATCATCGATGCCTACACCATCACATACAGTCTTTTCGACCCCCTACGTATCCTCAGAAGTGAAGACCATCTGTACACTCGGATACAACACACCCAAAACGGTCTCACCGCCTCATGCATTGACTTCTTCCTCGTCAGTGCCGACTTCCTCCACCACTGCCACAACATTGACATCCTGCGGTGCTTCGCCTCCAATCACTCTCCGGTCATCCTCACATCTCAACTTGGACCAGAGGAAGAAGAATCTGACTCCACTTCTTTCTTGCGTTGGAGACTTCCACAGACGATTGCACGCTACGGCCCTTTTGTTGATGCAGCATCACAATTCATAGAGCAAACGGCCAACCAGGTACTCAATCCGGAACGTGGTATACGTGTCAACACCACTTACATCTAATGGATTGAAAGATGCCGCATCTTTGCCAACCTGACCGGCTACAGGTTGCGTCTCCACTTTCTTAACGCTCATCAGACTCTTCACCAGCTCCGTCGAATTGCTGGCTGTTGGGACCTGAATAGAGCCTCGTCTCTCCCCACCTACCTATCTATTTGCAGGCAAATCAAAGACCTCGAAGCGACCTTACAGCTTACGGGTCACCTCATCCTCTCCACCAAGCTCCACCCTCTTTCTCAACGGCCTCACACAACCCCTACGGCACCAACCGTTTTTGACCACTTCAGCAACCTGTTTCAGACCGATCCCAGCTCTGAGGAGACTCACCACGCCCGTCAACAGTTGCTACAAGTCTCCACTAGCACCGTGTCAGACAACACCGCCGTCTCGCTGGCAGAACTGTTCTCGGCTGAAGAAATCGGATCAGCACTCCGCAAAGTGAAGAGTTCCCGCTCAGCTCCAGGCATTAATGGCCTACCTTACGCATTCTGGACCAGCAATACCCCAATCACTGCCCAGATTCTATGCAAGCTGGCGAACAGCATCCGCTCCGGTTGACCATTCCCAATGCCGCATCCCGTAGCCGCTGGTACTCTGTTGTTCAAACACAATGGCGATGCCAGCAATCCGGACTGCTACCGTCCTATCTCTGTGATTGACGCTGACCTCCGCACCATCAATATAGCTCTTCAACGTCGACTTCTTCTTGCAGCAACAGAGCTCACACCGGAATCACAGACAGGCTTTGTTGCTGGGCGTTCACTTTTCCACTCTGCCCTTTCGCTCCAGCTGGCAATATCCTCAATCAATCTCGATTTGCTACCACAATCATCCATCCTCATTGTAGATCAAGATCAGAAGAAAGCATTCGATCGCGTAGATCGCAGCTGGCTATGGCAGGTGTCATGGGGCCGGAGGTATGCGCAGGAAGGACTGGATTCATATGAAGGAACCATGCACAGCAATCGTGGATCGGGCCAAAGGAGAGTTCCAACAGAGCTCAGTGAGATCAGTAGGATCAAGGGCTCTATGACAGAACTCACCAGGATCGGCAGAAGCAAGGCCTTACTACAGAGTTTGTTGGGATCAGTAGTATCAAGCTCATATGACAGATCTCATGGAGACTGGTTTGAGGATGCATCTATCACCAATCTCGCAGAAGGTGGGTAACAGATGAAGAAGGGCTTGTCATCTGATGAAGTAGGGGCCCTATGCATCGATGAATGTGGCACAAGAAGGTGGGCATTGTTGTCAGGGGAGCATGATGAAAGGAGGGGTGCTTTACACTTGGATGAAGTGGGAGTGACCCCTATCAGTGATGAGGTAGCACTGGCTCTCCTCAACCCAGGAGCAGGAGAAGCAGTGCTTGATGAGGGGGAGGCACCTCTGTAGAGACCACTGACACAGTGTCACAGGCAACATTGTGATAACACCTATATAACCATGCTTCTCATCATAATAGTTGAGTGGATCCCCATCCACTCTACACCTTACACATTACTAGTTATAACTTTGTCATAAGTATACTTAGTAGTTTCTGTCAACAGTTGCAATTGCAGAGCATTGCATCTACCTAGTGTGTGTGTTGTATCACAAGCTACTTGGTGCCATCCGAAGGCAGTACATACTGCAGTCTGGATATCAATCGATACTGAAGGCAGTTACATACTGCGGTCTGGCTCTCTCAATCTTAGAACCAAAGGCAGTCATCCACTGTGGTCCGGGGATCAACCAATTATTCAATCAACACACTGGACACTTGTGTCGAAGCAAACTCATTCACACCAGACCTTGGTGTCACCTCAAAGTATCTATTGGATATCAATCATGCCGAGCTACCTCTGAATGGAGTGCCCACAGTGGTTAGTCAGAATCTGTGATAACTCTCAGTCTACAAGCTATTTGAATGAAAAAGAGTATAGAAGGCTTCTATAGCAGATTCAGGCAGAAACAGTAATAGAAGGCT